CAATGTTTATACTACAGGAACTAAACACACACCACAATGTTTATACTACAGGAACTAACACACTACAATGTTTATACTACAGGAACTAACACACACCACAATGTTTATACTACAGGAACTAACACACACCACAATGTTATACTACAGGAACTAACACACTACAATGTTTATACTACAGGAACTAACACACACCACAATGTTTATACTACAGGAACTAACACACACCACAATGTTTATACTACAGGAACTAACACACTACAATGTTTATACTACAGGAACTAAACACACACCACAATGTTTATACTACAGGAACTAACACACACCACAATGTTTATACTACAGGAACTAACACACACCACAATGTTTATACTACAGGAACTAACACACACACACCACAATGTTTATACTACAGGAACTAACACACACCACAATGTTTATACTACAGGAACTAACACACACCACCACAATGTTTATACTACAGGAACTAAACACACACCACAATGTTTATATTACAGGAACTAACACACACACACCACAATGTTTATACTACAGGAACTAACACACTACAATGTTTATACTACAGGAACTAACACACACCACAATGTTTATACTACAGGAACTAACACACCACCACAATGTTTATACTACAGGAACTAACACACACCACAATGTTTATACTACATGAACTAACACACACCACCACAATGTTTATACTACAGGAACTAACACACACCACAATGTTTATACTACAGGAACTAACACACACACACCACAATGTTTATACTACAGGAACTAACACACACACACCACAATGTTTATACTACATGAACTAACACACCACAATGTTTATACTACAGGAACTAACACACCACAATGTTTATACTACAGGAACTAACACACACACACCACAATGTTTATACTACAGGAACTAACACACCACAATGTTTATACTACAGGAACTAACACACACACACCACAATGTTTATACTACAGGAACTAACACACACCACCACAATGTTTATACTACATGAACTAACACACACCACCACAATGTTATACTACAGGAAACTAACACACACCACAATGTTTATACTACATGAACTAACACACACCACACTACAATGTTTATACTACATGAACTAACACACACCACCACAATGTTTATACTACATGAACTAACACACACACACACCACAATGTTTATACTACAGGAACTAACACACACACAATGTTTATACTACAGGAACTAACACACACACACCACAATGTTTATACTACAGGAACTAACACACACCACAATTTTTATACTACATGAACTAACACACCACACACCACAATGTTTATACTACAGGAACTAACACACACACACCACAATGTTTATACTACAGGAACTAACACACACACACCACAATGTTTATACTACAGGAAACTAACACACACCACCACAATGTTATACTACATGAACTAACACACACACCAACCACAATGTTTATACTACAGGAACTAACACACACCACAATGTTTATACTACATGAACTAACACACACACACTACAATGTTTATACTACATGAACTAACACACACCACCACAATGTTTTAATACATGAACTAACACACACACACCACAATGTTTATACTACAGGAACTAACACACACCACAATGTTTATATACAGGAACTAACACACACACACCACAATGTTTATACTACAGGAACTAACACACACCACAATGTTTATACTACAGGAACTAACACACACCACAATGTTTATACTACAGGAACTAACACACACACACCACAATGTTTATACTACAGGAACTAACACACCACAATGTTTATACTACATGAACTAACACACACCACAATGTTTATACTACAGGAACTAACACACACACACCACAATGTTTATACTACAGGAACTAACACACACCACAATGTTTATACTACAGGAACTAACACACACCACCACAATGTTTATACTACATGAACTAACACACACCACCACAATGTTTATACTACATGAACTAACACACACCACCACAATGTTTATACTACAGGAACTAACACACACACACCACAATGTTTATACTACAGGAACTAACACACACCACCACAATGTTTATACTACAGGAACTAACACACCACAATGTTTATACTACAGGAAACTAACACACACCACAATGTTTATACTACAGGAACTAAACACACCACAATGTTTATACTACAGGAACTAACACACACCACAATGTTTATACTACAGGAACTAACACACACACACCACAATGTTTATACTACAGGAACTAACACACACCACAATGTTTATACTACAGGAACTAACACACACACACCACAATGTTTATACTACAGGAACTAACACACACACACCACAATGTTTATACTACAGGAACTAACACACACACACCACAATGTTTATACTACAGGAACTAACACACACCACCACAATGTTTATACTACAGGAACTAACACACACCACAATGTTTATACTACAGGAACTAACACACACCACCACAATGTTTATACTACATGAACTAACACACCACCACAATGTTTATACTACAGGAACTAACACACACCACAATGTTTATACTACAGGAACTAACACACACCACAATGTTTATACTACAGGAACTAACACACACCACAATGTTTATATTACAGGAACTAAACACACACACACCACAATGTTTATACTACAGGAACTAACACACACCACAATGTTTATACTACATGAACTAACACACACCACAATGTTTATACTACAGGAACTAACACACACCACCACAATGTTTATACTACAGGAACTAACACACACTACAAGTTTATACTACAGGAACTAACACACACCACAATGTTTATACTACATGAACTAACACACACCACCACAATGTTTATACTACAGGAACTAACACACACCACAATGTTTATACTACAGGAACTAACACACACACACCACAATGTTTATACTACAGGAACTAACACACACTACAATGTTTATACTACAGGAACTAACACACACCACAATGTTTATACTACAGGAACTAACACACACCACAAGTTTATACTACAGGAACTAACACACACCACAATGTTTATACTACAGGAACTAACACACTACAATGTTTATATACAGGAACTAACACACACCACAATGTTTATACTACAGGAACTAACACACACCACAATGTTTATACTACAGGAACTAACACACACAATGTTTATACTACAGGAACTAACACAAACACTACAATGTTTATACTACAGGAACTAACACACACACACCACAATGTTTATACTACAGGAACTAACACACACCACAAATGTTTATACTACAGGAACTAACACACACACACCACAATGTTTATACTACAGGAACTAACACACTACAATGTTTAACTACAGGAACTAACACACACCACAATGTTTATACTACAGGAACTAACACACACCACCACAATGTTTATACTACAGGAACTAACACACACACACCACAATGTTTATACTACAGGAACTAACACACACACACCACCACAATGTTTATACTACAGGAACTAACACACACCACAATGTTTATACATACTGGGGATATACACATGTATGAATGTATATACCAAGCAGGGGATTACCATATGGTACTAAAAATACCAACTCAAGACAGAACAGCTTGACAATGGGTACAAATTGGGAAAGTTAAGATTCAGAAAACACTTAGATAAACATTTGTTTATAAATAGTTAGTGTTGTGTGAAGGTAGGAGGCGTGCGGCCGCTGGGGCCGTGGGAAGTGTGTGTTGGATGGTTGCACGAGTGGGCGTGGTTGGGCACTGTCTTGCATGCTGCTATATATCTTGTGCTGTATACTGTTTCATAACATTTCTCACGTTAGCATTTCTCGCAGCTGACGTTGACTCAATATGGGTATACCTGTGTACCAGTGTATCAGTGTACCAGTGTACCAGTGTACCAGTATACCTGGGTATACCAGTGTACCAGTGTACGTGGGTATACCAGTGTACCAGTGTACCAGTATACCTGGGTATACCAGTGTACCAGTGTGCCAGTGTATCAGTGTACCAGTGTACCAGTATACCTGGGTATACCAGTGTACCAGTGTACGTGGGTATACCAGTGTACCAGTATACCTGGGTATACCAGTGTACCAGTGTACGTGGGTATACCAGTGTACCAGTATACCTGGGTATACCAGTGTACCAGTGTACGTGGGTATACCAGTGTACCAGTGTACGTGGGTATACCTGTGTACCTGTGTACCAGTGTACGTGGGTATACCAGTGTACCTGTGTACCAGTGTACGTGGGTATACCAGTGTACCTGTGTACCAGTGTACGTGGGTATACCAGTGTACCAGTGTGCCTGTGTACCAGTGTACCAGTGTACCAGTATACCTGGGTATACCATTGTACCAGTGTACGTGGGTATACCAGTGTACGTGGGTATACCAGTGTACCAGTGTACCTGTGTATCAGTGTACCAGTGTACCTGGGTATACCAGTGTACCTGGGTATACCAGTGTACCAGTGTACGTGGGTATACCAGTGTACCAGTGTACGTGGGTATACCAGTGTACCTGTGTATCAGTGTACGTGGGTATACCAGTGTACCAGTGTACGTGGGTATACCAGTGTACCAGTGTACGTGGGTATACCAGTGTACCAGTGTACCTGTGTATCAGTGTACCTGGGTATACCAGTGTACCAGTGTACGTGGGTATACCAGTGTACTAGTGTACGTGGGTATACCAGTGTACCAGTGTACGTGGGTATACCAGTGTACCAGTGTACCTGTGTACGTGGGTATACCAGAGTGTACCTCTGTACACTTCCTGGGGTACACAACACCTCTACACCAC